CCGCCCCCGCGCAACCCACGGGATGCTCACACGCAGCGGCGCGATGGCCGCTCGGCGCCTTGCTCGCACGCTCGCTGGCGCTTGGCCTCAGGCACGTCCACAGTTCCTTCAGCCAGCACCAACACGTGCACACGCAACGACACGCACACTCTTCCTCGTCCAGTACATGCGCTCAGCGGTGCGTACGTGAGCAGAAACGCCTGTTTTTTGCTTTTTGTGGTACTAAAGAATGACGGAAAAGCGTGCACTTCACAAATGCAAACTGGCCATAACTGTATAGAGCTCAGCTATGAGGTAGAGCTGTCCTGCCTCTGTAGCACTGTCACTGCAGCAGCCCTTCTTCCTGGGATGAGCTTTGTGGCTGAGGGTTCAACTGCTTCTGGAAATGTGGCTTAGATTGGCCTATTCATTCACCGGCACAGCTATTTTTACTGGCCTGATTTAGCCTGGACATGTAGCTTTTGGTGCATTACTGGCTTCTGTGGCTGCTGCTGCTTTTCATTCTGCTTGAACTGTTGGAGGTGACCGTGGGGGCCCCCCCTTCAGCAGCAGACTTGCTCTTTTGAACTGTTTCACCGAAAGAGCCTTTACCATTGACCAACCCCACACCTGCTCCTCAGTGGGTCTTCAGCATTTCAGCAGCACTTAGAAATTCTGGTTTGCATTTTAGAACAGCTGCATTTGCAACAGACACTGTCATAACCACCACAGCTTGAAACTGTGGCGTTTTGATCCATCAGTGGTGTTAATGGTGACAGACTGGTCATCTTTGAACAGCGCATCCTGAACACATCTGGGCTTGGGAGGAGCTGCACAACTCCTCCCAGCATCCCCGCACCATACCGGTGGGTCAACTGACTGCAAACTTCAGCAACAATTAGTGAGTACAGTTTCTCAGCTAGAGGCATGCAGACTGAAAGGCAGTGAATTTTGGAGTCAGAAGACTTTTTTTAAAATTTATTTAAATTGTTAATATGTCTAACAATGCTCACTCTGTAGGCCTGGAGACAGCAATTGTCCATCCACAGATAAACTACAGCAAGAAACAAAGTGGCCCAGGTTGTGCACGTGTTGTTATTGCAGGGCAGTGCAAAGCCTCAGTTGGAAGGGAACTCTGATGGAGAAATTTATTTCCAGGTAATTACAGTCCTCTCTGCTGGGCTGGCAGGGAGAATGGTCATGGCAGACATGAAGATACCAGTTACTGCAGAAATTACACTGTGTGGAGACTTGTCCACTAAGAAGTGCCTGTGCCCTTGGCCAAACTCTCGTTCCACACAGGACATCAGCTAGCCACTGGAGGGGAGAGTTTCCTGCTGCTCAGAGTTACTGCTGGACCTTATTATCCAGCTGGAACAGCCACACACAGGAGAGCTGAAAGAGAAAAGTTGATCTGCTTTTCTCCCTGACTCCTCCCAAAAGTGATCCCAAACTTCTGATGAAGCTCTAGGTACTTGCCAAGGAACACCTCCCCTGCAGAGCAGTGGGCTGGGATCCTGGCATTTCCCAAGTGGCACTAGAGAGCCAACGTCCTCTCCTTTCCAGGACAGCTAATCCCAAATGTTTGACAGTCAGGTTCCAAATATTGTCAGTCACCTAAAGAACATAATTTTTAAAATTAAAACCAATAATTTTGAATCCTGTATGTTTGACTTTTGACTCTAGCTTTTGGCTCACACTCCACAGTTTTCGTGTTTTTCTTTGCATTAGCCAGCAGGAAGAGCATGCTTCTTTTAACTGAAAAATGAGAGTCTCTTATAACCACACGATCAATGGAGCAGAGTCTTAAAGAAAAAAAAAAGTAGGAACAAGCAGAAGCAGTAGCCTTCCTCTTCTCACAACTCCTGTAGTCAGCAACCAGTGGCTCACGTGTGTGCAACACCTCTTATCCCCTTATGGAAAGCAAAGGATTTGTAAGGAAGAAGCGCCCTGCGGCTGATCTACAAGACCTCCTGGGCTTGGCAATGTGGAGGAACCTGAGCCGTGGAGCCAGGCTTCATGGCACCCCACCGGCACTCATGACCCATGCTGTAAGGCAGCCCAGGCACCGGGCCCAACGTCTCTGCTCTCATGAGGAGCACGATTAGCTCTTCTTTGACACCAACTAGTCCAGACTTTGCTTTTGTTTCTCAGCCAAAAGCCTACCACCCAGGGCCCCCATGCAGCACTGGCAGCTGGGGGCAGTGAACTACCCTGCTTCAAATACGTGACAGGCATCATCCAGCAAACGATCTCCCCTCCCTGGTCCCTCCACAGAACGTGTGGTTAAGCTCCCCTCTCTCCGGGGCAGCCACCTGTAGGTATGTGGCATTCCTCCCTCTCTCGTTTCTCTGCAAAGCTTTCTGTATGCAGGAAAAGTTGAAACCTCAGAAGGCAGCCTTCCACTCCCAGCCCTGCTGCTTTCCCTCACAGAGGGGTTGGATGCCTTTGCTCTGTGTCACCTCTCAGCCTCTGGTCCCCAAACTCCAGTCTCAGAATCCACGTGGTTCTTTACTGACTTCATAAAAATAAACAAAGGCCTGGTAGCATTTAGGTCATACTAGTAAATTATTTACACACAGACACACACAGCCCCCTTCCATTTCTCATTGCATGGGTCTTGGTGTCACCGCACCCTGCCAGGGACCGCGTTCATCCCCGCCGTGCAGTCCCCACTCGGTGACAGCCGGACGCTGATGCTGAGCAGGCTTTCCGTGCACAGGCTGGGCTTTGCCGGCTGCTGCCCAGGGCTGGACATTGCCTACAAGGCATTTGCAGAAGCAGCTCTCTGCAATCCAGCCAGAGCAGGTACACTGCTATGGGTGGCTTGGCACGCAGAGCCAGGTTCAGGCCGGGTACAAGCTTATCAGCAGATCGCATCCAGCGGGGAACAGTACTGTGAGGCAGACTGGTGGCAAAGCACAAACTTCCCTTGCAACTATTTTTAAAAGCACCTTTACGTCTTACTTTTCAACTTGCATGGCACAAATAAACCGTAAGCATTAACTAGTTGGTACTAAAGAGAACCATTGTTCTGTAGCCCTCTGCTTTTCTGGTGCGAATGAATTAATAATATACTCCTCAATCTCCCTTCAGGAAAAAAGTCCCCCACCCAGCTCTGCCTTTGCTCCTGTTTCTGTTCTTCCATGCCGCCTTTGGTGGACTTCTGATCTTGATTCAGCATGGTCCATCTTACAATGTTTCTTTGGGTCCTGCTTCATCATGGGCAGGTGGACGTGGACTGTGATGTGTGACCAGGTTATACGATCACATATTTTTCATGCTGACCCATGGTGCAGGTGTTTAACATGCAATGCTTGAAAAGTCATTGCCCATGCCCACTGCTGACCCCTGCAAGCCAGCTTCTAATTCAGAGCGAGAGGCTTGCCCAATTTCTTCTTGAAACAGCTTGCTTTGGCATCTGTGTGCGCTGAACCTTCTCCGTCATTGTGGCTTGGTTTCCAAGTTTAGTTAGAAGCTTCTGGAGTTCCTCCCAGCCCTGTCAAGCCTTGCTTGCAGTTATAATGCATGGTTCTCTTATTGGCAGCAAATGATGTTGCCTTGTTATCCCTCTTCCCTCATTTCTGTTTTTTGAACAGGAGCTTTTGCCTCCTCCAGGTGTGGCCCCACCACCCCCTCCAATCCCAGTAAGCTTTTCTTCCTCTGCTGGAACACTGGCCATTTACTTTTAATGGATTTTTACCCCCCTTCTATCAGCTATGACTCAATTTTCAATCCATGACGGGACTTTTCATCCCATGGCTGCCAAGTTTGTTTCATTCTTGGAAAGGCCTTTATCAAAAAACCTTTTGAAAGCATATATTTACCGTAGTCCCTACTTGTTCCTGATCAGCTTTTTCAGATGCTCACAGAGGTCAACTGACCAGCAGGCCATGATTTAACTTTGTAAAAAAATGCTCCATCAGTTCTCCCTCCACAGGGTGCCGGTCTGCCAGCACGGCTGGCCCAGTCCCCGTTTTCCTAGAAGCCTTGTGCTGTGGCCACTCCGGCCGTTTTTAAAAATGCAGCTGCTCCCCAGAGCGGGGCAGGAGGGAGGACACTGGGGCTCTGCCCTTTGCACTGTGGGGAGCAGCAGCAGGGCCGGTGGTAGAAATGAGGGGGGTGCCAACTCCATGGCTGTGCCACAACACGTTGCATTTTCCTGGGTAAAACCCTTGGGTCCGGGACCCAGGGCAGAGAAAACCCCCATCACCGGTACCGGCGGCTGTGCCGGGTGTCGAGGATGCTGCAGTGGGCACCATCATCCCTCCCCACGTGCGGGGTCTGCACAGGGCAGAGCCCGGTGGGAAACACCTCAGACCGCTGCGGGGCTGCCCAGGTCTTCCTGGGGAAAGCAGAGTGCCGCCGAAATGCCAGTGCCCCACACCCTGGGGAAGGCTGTGTGGGAAAGCCATCCGAAAGCCCTTGGAGCAACCCCCCCCCCCAAACCCCCCGGTTCTCCCTCACCACCAGCTGAGCCTGGCGCTTCTCCTTTGATGCCCTGAGTGGGGGTGGCACCCCCTTGCCATGGTGGGTGGCAGCACAGCCCCACCACTGCTCAACCCCACAGCCGCCCTCCCAGGAAGAGGACACCCCAGTTTAACTCTCCTGTGGCCAAGCGTGAGCATTGGGCCAGGGAACTGGTGGGCACCGCTGGGCCATCTCGTCTTCTGGCTTTTGCTGCTTTCACCTGAAATAACAGTGGAATAAATGTGTGTAAAGAGACACATCCAGAAGCGGGGCACAGACCAAGAGGCTCAGAAGTGGGGACCTGGGTGCCCCCAGGACTGAGGGCAGTTGATGGGGTGGGTGCAATTGCCCAAGCCAAGTGCCAGGTCCAGCACATTTGGATCTGGCTCTCGGTCTAGCAGTAGTTTAGTTTCCCAATCTACTTGTGAAGGGTCCCAAGAGACCGCAAAGGGCGGCGGGAGCACCAGCACCGCTCCCGTGCTGCCGGCACAGGCTGCAGCGGGAATTTTACCAGTGACGGCTGGAGGAGCAGAGCAAGGCAAGCACACAAATCTGAGTCCAAATGTATGAATTTATCATATCTAACGCCTCCCTGAAATCCAAACAGACTCAATTACATTCTCTCTCCGTAATGAATCAGTAATTATATTGAAGAACACTATTATTTGTCTGGCATGACCTATATAAACCCGACTTGGGGAGTGCATAGTTGGTGCGGAGCCAGTGCTCTGTGCCCTGCGTATTATTGCCTTATAAACACAACCATTGTTTGAATTTCAGATCAAAACAAACTGAGCCACGTCGCTTGTCAGTTATTAGATATCTTTTTCCCAAATGCTCACCCAGACCATATTACAATAACAATAATTATTATTACATACTTCCTTATTATATGTTTGTGCCGAGGTAGCACATTTGCCTTTTTCCCACACGTTAGTAGCTTCTCCTGACTCTTATGATTCACTCCTGCCTATTTCCCAATGTCCGTGAGCTCTTTTTGTATTTCCAGATACATTTCGTCAAGATCTGCAGATTGGCAGAGGGACTCAAGGTGCCGTATTGCACCAGTCCCTGCAAAGGGTTGCAACCCACGCGGGGGCTTCGCTCCTCGAGGGAATATGCAAACATGAGAAAGACATGGACCCTGCCCCCAGGTGCTTTATAAATATTTAACTTGGTCTGATAATGTGATAAGAACTGATAATGTGATTTGGACAGACTAACACCCAGCCCTGCTTGGGGAGGGCTGGAAATGGACCCTCTGAGGGAAGTTGGTGGCAGGGGAGGGCTCAAGCTGGAGCACAGTGATGATGCTTCCCACAGCCACTGCTGTAGCTGGGAGTAGGACTCACCTTGCCTAGCTTGGGACATCCAAAATCTAGTCGTCAAATCCTCAGCAAGTTGCCGATCTGCCTTTACAGTCACAGAAGAGAAGCGGGCGCTTGGCTGCCCAGTGAGTCAGCCCTTCTCAAGATAAATGTTCAAGATAGGTGAGATGAATCACACACTAGAGGTGCCTATTTGTCTCCACTGACTATGCAGGGAGCCTGTCCGAGTAATTAGGTTTAGACACCTAACTTTTAGGCATCTAAAATCAAGTGAGAGGAATCCCATCCTCATCGACATCCTTCGCTACTGGCCTGACAAAGGCAGCAGTGGGAGAGGCTCCCTGGAAATGCCCTCCCAGATTTGGACATGACCAAACCCCTCTGTCCTCCGTACATGGGAATGTGCAAAGCCTCGCCCCCGTGTCCTCTCCACGCAGCTCCTACGGGCGTGGGGTGCTCCAGCCATGCCCAGCTGGCAGAGATGAAAGCATGTTCCCCGCTGCAGTCTGAATGAGGCAACGGTCTTGTGGGAAAAAGATATAATAGTGGGACTGAAGTCAGTATCATAATGTATTCAGAGCAGGCAGGGGGAACAAAAAAAAAAAAAAAGAAAAGGAGACTTGACCTTGGCTTCCTGCCTGGTGCTAAAAGTGTGTTTTGATGGAACAGGATAGGCAGGAAAGCAAGCTGCCTTCCTGATGCAAATATCTCATGGAGCTGTAAGATGTGTGGAGTGCAACCCGTGTGTTTGGAAACACGGTTATGACAAGTTCCACCGTGAGGGGCCAAAACGGTATTTTTCAAAGGGTTCTAGCTGGGCTTACTGGAGGTGAGCTGCCACCAGCACAGCAAGCAGCACCTTCTGACACCAGCACTGCCTGTCAGACAAATGTTACGATCCGAAAGGCTCCTGAGTAGTTTTAGAATTTCTCTTAAAAAAAAAGGTGAAAGCATTTAGTCCTACCACATTCTTTCAGAGGGAAAAATTGTGGAAACATTCCACTGTTTGACATCTGATGAATAAATCAGGAGCCAGGGCTGCTCTGGCTGGAAATGGGCAGAGGCCAACAGAAATTGCTGTGCTGGGTTATTGCCCCACTGTGCATATAGGCTTGGGAGCGTGGAAGCAGCATTTGAAAAAAATGTGCTGGTTTCTGAGATCTGTGCCTTTCCATGTCCCCGACTGCTTCTGTTTCGTGCACTAACCACCCTATCGATACAAGGGCAACTGCTGTTTGACGTGCAGCAGGTGTCACTTGCTTTTTCTTCTGGAAACTGCCAACAGCCTCTTTAAAGCTTCTGGCACTCTCCTTAACCTGAATGACAATTCATTTAGGTGAGAGATATTTGACTACTTCGCCCTGCCCTGGCAGGCACAGAGCCCTGTGCAGACCGAGGCACCCATTTGAAGCTGTGCCCTTGCCGTACACCATAATCAGCTCCCGATTTTGGGCCCAGCAAGGATGCTGGGGACCCCAGGACTGCCACGTGCCCAGCTGCATCCTGGAGAAAAGAGGGTGCTGGCACCCGGCTGCGCAGGCTGTCCCACATGGGTGGGCTCCCCACAGGGAGGGGGGACGGGGTGCTGCTCCAGGGACCCGCAGAGGGATGGCACACCGGTCTCCCTGTCAGCTGCTTCACGGATCTTATGGGCCAGTGGTGCAAAACATCTCCTGCTCCATCCCTCACCTTGCTGCAGCCAGGCTGGGGTGCTCTCTCGGCTCCCGTTACCGCACCGGCAGGATGGAAATCCCTTCTCCAGCTTCCCACAGTTGCAGAGCGCTCAGGGAGGAGAGATCAGACGAGACTTGCTCCTTGCCCTAAAGGGTTTGTAACTTCACTGGGAATGGCTGAACCCCGATAAGGAGAGGGACGTTTCTCTGCAGGAGGCGGCGGGCATCAGCGGCAAGTGGGCGGCAGGGAGGTCTGCGGCGCTGCGGGAGGGGGCTGCTGGGGCTTTCCAGCCCTGCACCCAGCATCCAGACAGGGTGTGCAGACCCCCGGCGGGCTGGTGGGTGCTCTGAAAGGGAGCCGGGGTGCAGTGACAGCCCCGCACCCAGGCCAGGGGCAGAGGGGCAGCGGTTCCTCTTCACTTCCCACAACTATGCAGCAGCCAGTCCGGGTCACGCTCTTCCCTCCAGCCCCTCAAACCTATTATCTTCCACACGGGTTGGTGCCTTGTCCCTGCTCCCGCCCCCAGCACAGGCTGCACGTGTCTGGGTGCAGCTGGATGGACCCCCGGACACAGCTGGACCCGCTGCCGAAGCAGTCGTGACAAACAGCTGAACACCAGCACGGGCTTGCTGTCCTGCTATGTGGAAACATATTAATTGCATTAGTATTTCCACTGGAAATTATAACTTAGATCCATTAAGTTCAGCCAATTTCCTTACCCTGCATCTGCTAAAAGGACACCTCTGCTTTTTCCATTGCAGTGCCTTCTCAGTGCCACCAGTGCTAAATTTGTGGCAGGCCGGTGACATCCACGTGACACCTCAGAAGCAGCCACACACCACCTTCACCTTCTGTCTCCCCTCCTCCCGCTTCCTCCAGAGGTAGCTCAGCATCTGAGCTACTGAGGCACAGAAAATCCTCCTTCTGAACAACCAAATCGAATCCCAAACCCCATTACTAAAGATGTCCTGTAACTCAGATCGCCTTGGATGGCCTTTAGGTTGTTCCCAGGTGTAAAGTCAGGAGGATTAAGGGCTTATAATATTTGTCTGGCATCGTTGCTACCAATTCCAGCAAAAACAATGGAGCTAGCTTTTTGGATTTCCTGCCACCACACAGTACACACATGCACACACTCTCTATTTTATGAATGTTTACGTACCCGAGCTGCCAGGAATCTCACTCCTGTTGCTTCGCACCACCTTAGCACACTTTCCTGTATCTCTGCAAATTTGTTTTCTCACCGAGCAGCCGGCAATACCCCTTTTACTCAGGAGCAGGCGGAGGCCGGGCTTCCTCAGGTGCCAGAAAAGCCTGGCAGAGGGCACACCTACAAGCTGCGGTTTCCATCCCGAGCCATTCACACCTCCCAGTGGCTACCCAGTGATGTTCCATGGAAGGAAGGCAAGGCCAAAATAAAAGGATTAAAAAGTTAGGGACAGGCAGGGTATGGCCACACTGGCATCCACCCACTCCCCCCGCAAGGCCACAGCGTCCGAGGAGGTGCCTGGAACGGAGGAAACACCGACACCCACTTGTGGAGACCAGCAGAAAGGCACTTCCACACCTCCACCTCCTGGGGCACAGCCAACAAAAACAGCACCGGACCCAAAAGATATGAATAGATTAGCGACTGCAGAAAGCTTTGACTTACTTTACACCTCCAGCAGAAATAAAGGCAGGAGGTTTGTCCTTCCTCCATCCCCAGCCTCCTTACATTGGAGCACCCCTGCAGAAAAGACACATCGATTTACCTGAAGATTCCCATGGGAGCGGGGCAACAAAATGCCTAACTCATCCAAAACTCACAGGGGAAAGCCTTGCTCGTGATGAAAGCACTTCCCTTTCCTAGCTTGAAACTTTGGGAACCGGGTGGTAGGAGGGGGAACAAACCAAACCACTACTACCCCGCCTCATTTTCAACCATTCAGTCTTTTTTGCACTCGTGTTCTTGCTCAGTAACTAACTGATGCAAGCAGACCTGCAGGCTTCCTACTGCCGAACAGCTCCAGGTGAAGATAAGTGGAGGTGTCTTAAGATAGCAATCTTCTTCTGTTGCTATGGGAGCTGTAACATCACCAAATATATTTGTGGCAAAGCTGGCACTTGGACTGAGTTTATACTCGGTGCTCAAAGTAACCTCTCATTACCCTGGTGGGGAGTTAAACTAGGTAAGGAGCGCAGCCACCCCGTGAGACTGTTCTCCAGCCTTTGGCAGAGGCCGGCGTGTGAAACTGTGCCCAGCGGCTCGGGGACCAGCCAGTGCCGATTTGCACTTCCCAGCATTGACCTCCTCCTGCCTGGCCCAAACAATCTGACGTTGCACAGCTAATCCCAAATTTGTGAGGTGCACCTCCAAGCCTGTCAGGGTTAGACAGAGTATAAAGTGTAAAAGCAGACCCTAACTATGTAAAAATAACCACGTTGGGTCAGATCAAAGGGCTGTTGTGGCCTTTCTCTTACCTCCAAGAGCAGCCAATGCTTAGGGGGGAAAATGGGGGAATGGGAGAGTGATACTTTTGCTGTGCATTGTCCAGCAGCGTGCCGTGGAGGTCTGCCTTTGCCTTTAGTAAACCTCCAGGGACTTTTCCTCCATAAATCTGTCGAATCGCTTTTTTGACCCCATTTATACTTTTGACCTCCACAGCATCGTGTGCCAATGAGCCCACAGCTTTATACATGCACACCATTGGAAAAAGTACTCCTTTAAACCTTCTGCCTTTATAATTTCGTTCACTGCCCCCTGCCTCTTCCCTGTTTTCTGGCCTTTCTGTCCCTTTTCAGCTCTCATTCAGGAAAGTGGTTCTTAATTCTTCTATTAAATGTGCGCACAGGTCTGCTGAAGAATCTTACCCCTCTGTACTTTGAGACAAGTTTAGCAACTGCTTGCATCAGAACCAGGGAATGAGAATGCCCCAGAAGCTGCTCCTGTGCTGAGGATGGATTTGGGAAGCGTTCAGGAAGTCCTGGACATTTATTCCTGCTTCCCAGGCCCAGCTGTAACATCCTAACTGGAATGTGCTGGGCCTGGATGGATTGACCCACAAGAGAAAGCTAGAGAGTGTGGCACTGCATTCATCCACTTTTTCAGTAATCCTTAATAATTGACTTCCATTTATTCATTTACCTATCTTTATTCATTTGCATCTATCAAAGTTCTGGCACGGCTCTGGCGGGAGGTGCAAGGCTCCGATTTTTTCATTCCTCTGCTTGGTGTGAATTCGTGCCCACACAAATTCCCACTCTGGCCCGGAGGGCTCTGACTTTTAGCCACGAGGTGGGGTGAGCAGCTAAATTCCTGATCTGAGCATGTGCGCAGCCAATGCAAAGCAGACCACCATGGAGTCGGGGTTTGCCAAGCTAAATCGCTGGAACAAAAATTCCTTCTCGGCTTCAGCCTTCGCCGCTAGATCCGTGGAAATGTGCAACCTTAAACCTCAAGTTTCCAAAACAAACGTGCACAGGGCTAGCGGGTAAATGCAAAAAGCAGTGGGGGCAGGCAGCTGCGCTGGCGGCCCAGGGCCCTCCGCTCTCCTGCCCCAAGCCCCCCGCTCAACTTTGCACCGTGGCTGGCCGACAGGAAGAACCGGGGCGAAAGCTGGGCTGGGAGCAACTCAGTGGTGAAATAGTTATCTCGGCTGGCTTTCTCGGTAACTCTTGGAAAGTCCCCGAAATGACGTTTCTAACCTAACAATTAAAATGGGTTTAATTATAGAGAGGCTCAGAGCCCTGGGAACAAGCACCATCTACAGAATGAGTAAACAACTGCAGAAAATAATAGGCTGGTCTCTCCCCTGGTTACTCCTCACTTCTGGCCAAGGCAAGGAAAAAAAAAAAAAAAACAAACTAGAAAGAGAAGGAAATTCGAGGAACCTGATTGCTCTCCTTAAGTAAATAATAATAATATATAAAAAAAAAAAAAATCTGGAATAGCCAGAGCCTGTGGGCGTTTCTCTCAACTGGTTATTTTGGCTGCTCTTGAAGACCGAAGGAGGGAGAAAAGATCAGCCGCCAGCTCAAAGTCCAGCTCCTGCGACTCTAAAGCAAACAGAAGAGGAAGTGGATGGTTTGTTGGAAGTTTTCAGCACGATGGCCGCTCGGGTCGGCGCTGCGCTGACCAGGGCAGGGGCTTCTCCCCCAGCCGAGCCAGAGTGCAGGGCAGGAGGAAGATTTGGGGTGCCGGGGCAGGGCCCCCCTCGCGGGGCACAGCGCCCAGATGCTGTCGCTCGGCCTCAGATGGAACACCCACCAAAGTGACAGTGGGGGCGAGCCTCGCCTCAGGGGGGGTAACAGGTATGGGGCAGCAGGTTCCGCGCTGAGGCACCCCAGTATCGACAAGCCTTGAGGCGCTTTGCCTTTCTTTAAACACAGAAACTGCCGCCGTCCTCCCCCCGCCTCCCCGCCATAGCGATATCAGTATGAATCATACTTTTGCCTACTAAAATCTGGAACAGATTACTTGCTCAGAGACTTTTTTTTTTTTTTTTTTTCAGTTTTACAATTTTGAGTTCTGGAGACTGGAAGAGGACTCTACGGGGAGAAAAGGCAGAGTTTATCAAACACCCCTTTAAAGGGCAAACCCGTATTTTTAACGATTTGATGTGGATGGGAGCCAATCCCCCTCGCAAGCGCCTGCCAGGTTTCAGCAAAAATTAGGAAAAAGGGAGTAAGGCGGGGGGGGGGGGGGGGGGGGGGAGGGGGCGATATGAATCAGCACAAAGGCGGTCAGCTTGCAAAAAAAAAAAAAAAACCAAACCAAAATAAAAAAAAAAAAAACACAAAAAGACCCCGCGAGGACGATTGGCCGCGCCGAAAACGGACCGAGACCAACTTAAAGTGACCAGATCCGCGCGGGCCGGAGGGAAATCTCGCGCGTTGCGCACCGCGGCGTGGGGCCCGGCGGGGCCTGCGGGAGCACCCCCGCGGCGTGGGGCCGGGGCCGGGGCCGGGGCCGGGGCCGCTCCGTCCTTCCCGTCCCGTCCCGTCCCGTCCCGTCCCGTCCGCGCGCGCAGCCCCGCGCGCAGCCGCCGCCGCCCCGCGCCGCGCCCCGCGCCGCCCGCGCGCACAACCGCCTCCTCCAGAGCGGGGGCGGGCGGCGACACCACCCCCCCCGCCGCGGCCCGCCTTTTGCCCCCCCCCCCCCCCCCCCCCCCCCCCCCCCACTTTTCTTTCTTTTCTTTCCTCTCCCCCCCCTCTTCGCTTCCCTCCCCCCACTTCTTCCTCACGAAAGTTTTTTTTTCTCGACCTGCCCGCCCGGGTGATTCAGTCGCGGTGTCAATCACCCTGCCCTCCTCCTCCTCCTCCTCCCCCTTCCTCCCGCCGCCGGCTCCTCCTCCCGGGGTAAGTCCGAAACTTTATAAGTTGAGCTTTTCCCCGAGCCCGCTGGAAGCGGCGAGCGGGCGCGGCGGCCGGGCGGGCTGGTGGCGGCGGGGGGAGGCTGCGAGCCGGGGCGCTGGAGGCTGTGCCTTACCCACGCCGTGACTCCTCGTGTCCGTGTGCCGCTGCCCCACCCGCTTCCCCCCTCGCTCGCCGAAGATGTCCACAGCCCTGGTGTCGCCTACCATCTTCGACCTGAGCGAAGTTTTATGCAAGGTAAGGACGCCGTCGGGGGCGGCTCCTCCGGCTTCGGGGCGCTGCAGCTTCTAAGTCTTTGGGGGTTGTTTTGGTTTCATTATTATTTTTTTGATTATTTTTATTTATTTTTGTTTTCCCCCCGTTTTCTGGTCGGGAGCGGGTTCGGAGCCGGAGGGCGCAGGGTGGGGGCCGCCCCGTCCCGGGGCGCGGGGTCCCCCGCCACCGCCGCCCGCGCTTCCCGCCGCGGCCGCCCCGCCGGAGGGGGGGGGTGGGTGTGTGTGTGGGGGGGGGACGGGCACCACCCGGCGGGCTCAGCCGGGGTCGGTGTTGGGGGGGGGCGCCCCGATCCTTCCCCTGCCCCCGGGGCCGCCGCGCCGCAACACGCCCGGGCGCGGCGGGCGGCGGCGCTGCCGCGGGGCCGGGCGGGCTCCCCAACCCCTCCCCCGCCGGGCTCGGCCGCCCCCCGCCCGGCCCCGCCGGAGGGGGAAGCGGGGCGGGGGCGCTGCCCTTCCCGCTCGCCGCCGGTCCCCCGGGGGGGGGGGGGGGGGGCTTTCCCAGAAAGGGAGCTCCTGCCTCCCGAGTTGTTTTGGATGCAGCCGGCGGCTCCCCGGCGCTTTGGCTCGCTTCGTTACTGCCCTGCGCCGAGGCGGGGGCGCGGCGAGAGGGGCTGGGGCAGATGTTGCTGCTGCCGGGGGAAGGGCCGCTCCCCGGGGCCGCCCTGCTCGCAGACGGGTGCCGTGCCGTGCCGTGCCGTGGGAGGCTGCGCGGGGGGACACCGGAGGAGGAGGCGGTGGCGGTGACCGGCCCTTGCTTTCTCCCCGCAGAGCAACAAGATGTTGAATTACAGCTCCTCGGGTGTCGGTGGGTGCCTGCTGGACAGGAAGGCGGTGGGCACCCCGGCCGGAGGGGGTTTCCCTAGGAGGCACTCTGTCACCCTGCCCAACTCCAAGTTTCACCAGAACCAGCTCCTCAGCAGCCTGAAAGGGGAGCCGGCTCCCATGCTGGGCCCCCGGGAAAGCCGCTTCCGGGACCGCTCCTTCTCCGAGGGCGGCGAGCGCCTGCTGCAGCAGAAGCAGCCCGGGGGACAGGTCAACTCCAGCCGCTACAAGACGG